CCCCAAAACCCCAAAACCCCAAAACCCCAAAACCCCATCAAGAAATATTACAAACTTGAATTAATAATTATCAAATTAGATAAAATTGATCACATTAATATACCAGATATTTTAGCCCAAAAGCTTTATTTCCTTGATTATCTAAATCTTTCATCTGTACAGTGTGATATTTCCACAGGAAAATCGATCTGCTACATGAAGTTTTTATATTGATTTTAATCCGCAGGATCAGTATCAATCTAATTATCATCATCCAAATTGTTGTTAGAGGGATTGCCCTAGACACTAATATTACACTACAATAGGAAAAAGTAGAATGGCTGACTAAGGTCATCATAGAAATCGAATTCATTATGATCCATATCATTTGATAAGAGTAGCGAACATGGCCCTCCACATGCTGCATGAAGCTATTATGAATGACTTGAAGGTACTAGTGTATCCTTTTAGCCATGAATAAGAAAAGTAGGGCATTTGACTTCTTTTATGTTATCTATATTTCTAAATCTCTCATGTACAATAAAGGAAGCTAGTGTTCCTGCTATATTTTTTACTACACTTCTTATTGATAGATATGCAGTCATTAAAAGCAATGCACAAGGCTAAACATAAGCAGCTAACTCGGTGGCTGGCCCAGTTCCAAGAGATCTCCCAAATAAGATAATGTCCTTACTTGCTATCCTTAAATGCTAGGTCAAGTAATCCCAAACAGTTAAAGCATCTTCTAGAATACCCTCAGCTGAAGGTGTTCCAGGATATATACCATACCCTGGATATTCAATAGCGATGACATGAACTTTCAATGAATTTTTAAGATGATCAAGAAGTTCATAAGCAAGGCCAAGGTCTTCTGCATTCCCATGAAAATAAATGATAATCTTCGATGATCCTTAAGTGTAGGGTAGGTATAAGCATGGAATAGGCAAAGTTAGATCTGAGTGTCCAAATGTTTGAGTGATTCATGGAATATAAATAAGGTCTGACGAGAATTCATCTGCAGTATAACTACTCTCAGGAGCAGGAAATATAAAGTAATTAAAGTCCATTCTTAAATTTAATTTTTCCTATAATTTTTAGTTCAAATATTTTAATTAAATCAAAAATATAATTGGATAATTTTCTCAAAATGCTTAAGCTCGGGGTTTTGGGGTTTTGGGG